CCCCAAAACCCCAAAACCCCAAAACCCCAAAACCCCGCTCAAGCATTCTTAGATTGAATTATAGATTAATCTACTTAATCTTAGCCAGGGCATTCTTAGAGTCATTCAAAATCTTTGGCTCAACGATCAGGTTCTCTTCCTCAATTTTAGCAATCAGTTGTCTCATTTTGTCAGCATCTTTCTCAGAAGTAGCAGCTTGGAGCTCTTCTTCTACTCCTTTACTGTACTTAAGGACCTCAAGTTTCTTTTCTGCAGTCTCGATAGTCTCTTTATTAACCAGAGCTTCTTTGGCTTCACTCAGGGCTGTTTCCAGTGCAGCTATTTCTATCTTTTCTAGGCCCATGACATCATTAAGGAGAACCTCCTTATACTTCCTGTTAGAGATGAGCTCTCTGTACTCGTTCCTCTTAGCGAAGAGTTCTTCTGTCTTTGTAATGAAGTCTTCTCTGGATTTCATGATGATGTCTTGGAGTTGCTTTTGCTTCTCCTCTCTATCTTTAGCTTCTATCTCACGATTTTCCATTCTGGTGCTGAAGACTTTCTCCCATTGTTCAACTTCTTTTTCTTTAAGGGCTTTCCTTTCAAGAATCTCTGCCTCGTCTCTAAGACGAGCCCCAGATTTGTTACATTTGATATGAATCAGCCTATCACTTTCAAAGTGATGGATAAAATCTCTGAAGTGGAGATTTGTGTAATCTGAAGAAGTTGGGAATACTTGTGGGACTTCCTCTACCTTCTCATCTTCTTCGGGAGTTGCTCCCTTCTTATCACCCTTTCCTTTAGCAGCTTTAGGGTCACCTTGAGCTTCACCAAGATTAGCGGCTCCTCTGATTCTAGTTTCATTGATAACTTCTTGTTCTTCCTCAGTGAGTTCTTCGCCTTTGCTTTTCTTAAGCTCAGCAAGATATCTGATTCTACTTTTCTTTGATTTTTCTGCTCTTCCTGGTTCGGCTTCTTCCCAGGAATCCTTTAGAGCTTGCTCTCTGTCTTCCTTATCAGTGTCTTTAACGATGGCTACAGTATCGCTACTGAAAACGCTGAGATCCCATTCAATGTCCTTGGTTTCAGGGCTGTTCTTGAGAACAGCACCTGGCCAATCATTCTTATCAAAAGTAGCCTGAATAACATAGTGATGAGCATATTCAGTATTAGAGTCAGCCTCTTCTGGGACATCAGCTCCATCTGCAGGAGGGGCTTCATCTCCTTCTGATTCTTTCTTAGGCTCAGGCTTTTCTTCTAGCCCACTATTGCTTCTAAAGTTAAAGTGACTGATAGTGAGATGGCCATTGCCTTGGTAAGTCTGGATAAGTTCTTCATTATCGAAAATCTCAACTTTGAAGTTTTTCTTGAGTTCTCTAATTTCAAAAATGGGTTCGGCTCCCTCTTCATCCTGCTTGTCTTCTTCCTTAGGTGGATCTTCTGCTTTCTCAATTTCTATATCAGCTTGGGCTTTGTTTTCTACCTCCTCTTCGACAATGCACTTTTGTTTTAAGGCGATGTTCATGGCAGCTGATGTATGTTGGCCAACATAGATCTTTTCCTTAAAAATAATGCCATACTTGTAAGGAACATATTCATCAGAGTATAGGAGTGGTTCTACCATTTCGATTCTTTCAAGTTCAAGTTCTTCCCTATTAGTGATCATCTCTAGCTCCAGGTCGATTCCAAAAACATCATAGGGAAGAATTCCTTCACAAATGATGGAGTACCCCTTGTCTTCATTAGGCTGGAAAGTTATCTTCTCAGTTCTACATAAATTCAGTGTTGTAATGGAGCTGCTCTCAGATAGCTTCTGGTTCAGGCTCAGCTGAGAATTAGCACCTAAATCGTCATCTGGACAAGACTTGTCAATAATCTTGAGCCTCATGAAGTTATAGAGATACTTGTCAGCAGTCCTGAGGATAAACTGGCATTCAGTATCCTGCTCTGTTGGGTTAAAGTCAAACTTAAACAACAAGGAATATTTCTCTTTCTGAAGATTTCCTTGTTGGATTTCATACTTTTTAGAATGAAGCTTTTGTTCTTCAATACAATACTGAGTATGGTTCAGGATATCTATTTTACAGTCACTCGAAATTCCAATGAAGAACCCAAGCGGAGCATAAATATGGGGCTTTAAAATAATCTTTGCAAGGTTTGGGAACTCCAGCACTTTTCCACTGAAATAATAAGTGAATAGAAGGTCATTTTGGTTCAAAGGATCGCTATCCTCTTCACTATCTTGAAGATCACTAAGGACAATATTATTATCTTCTGTTTCAGTCTTCTCAGGAGCTGGGTGCTTTTCAGTCTTCTCCACATCTAGCCTACAATAATACCTTGGCAATCTCTCAGCATCTGTCTTAGTAGGATTAGGAGTGAAGGAGACTAGGACTCTCTTCTTGTCATCTTTCTTATAATCTTCAATATTTTTGTACTGTTCTGTTTCTTCAGATGGATCTTCTTCAGGCTGAGCTTCTTCTTCAGCTTTCTTTTCTTCCTCATTCATCTCTCTAACTCTGATATACACATCATCTTCATTAGCAACATAAGGCTTCTTTGGCATTGTCCATACATCTCTGTGCATATTTCTATGCTTGATTTTCTGTTCGTTATGGAAGATTATGAAGTACTGGAAGCAGTAAGGAAAGTCAGAGGCTTGCAACCAGATACCTCCTGGAGCACGAGTTCTAGGCTCATAGGCCTTCTTTTCATCCTTATTCTCTTCTTCCTTGTTTTCTTCATTTTCATCAACCTTATCCCCAGTTTCGTTTTCTTCTTTGATAGGAGTGATGTCTAGTTTGAAAGTGTTATTGTCCTTTGTAGGGGACTGTTCAGGGACGAAGTTAGGATCAAACTCTGGAGGTGGTCTTTCCCATCCATTAAGCCTGCACTTGTTGGCCAATTTGATCTCTGAATTTGTGAATGGAGCATTCACATTGAGTATGGGATAGTTGCCAACACTTGTCCTGATCTTTAAGAGTTTGTACTGGATAGGTGCAACCTTCTTAATATTGCCAGCCTGAGTCCTTGATTTATCCTTAAGACCTGTAAGTCTACCTTTCCTCTTAGAACTCTTCTTCTTGAGAGTCATTGTCTTGTTCATGTTTGGAGACTGCTTCCTTACTTTTTTCTTTCCTCTATTTGGAGATCTGAACGGACTCTTTGCATCATCATTATCGATCTTCTTGATGATTGTGTTCATGTCAACAGTTCTGTTTTCGAAAAGGTCCATTAAGGCGTATCCAAATCCTGGGATGACATATGACTGTCTCTGTTTAGTTAAAATAGCAGGTGTAAGCCTCTTTCCAGTTGTGATTGACAAGGCTAATGATGCTATCTCCCTCAATTTTGTTGCTAACTTTAATTTTTGAGTTGATACCATCTTTGTCATGGCTAAACCTTGAGGACTGATTCCAGTCTTAGGATCTTGGCCTGGTTTTTCTACTTTCATCATACTAGGAATCTTTGGTTTGAAAGTGATACCTCAATATGTCATTACATATGTCTTATTATCGAAATAATATTCATCTGATAAGTGCTTTCTTAAAATTTCAATTCCATCTTGGTGGAAGTTGTCTACCTTAATTCTCTCTCCTACAAGCCCTGTCAAACAGTACATAAGACTGGTGTCTCCAGTCTCTCTGTCATAAAGAGCTCCTGGGTACCATTTGAATGAGTAAAGCTTGAAGAAAGCTTTTATCAGCAAATGCGGCCAAATTTCTGTGAAATCAGTTGTTCTTGGATACATCAATTTATTATGGATATCACAAGGCATTCTGTCATCTATCTCAACAAGTCTTTCTTGTCCCATAAATCTTAGCTTGACTCTGTACTTCCCGTTTAAACTTTTACAAGGGATTCCATTTTCTTGGGGATAAATCCTCTTCCAGATCTGCTCCTTAGTCTCAGAATCTCTCACAGTTCTATCCTTAATAAACTGAATTTGGGAGGTCATCCATTTGGAATAAGTAGGCATTAAGAATCCCATATCCATATTACACTCGATAGCAACTCTTGCCATTTGAGGTTGTTCTTCATCTTCACCCTTCTTGGGGGCTTTTTTCTTATCTTTGCCTGCCGCTTTCTCTTCTTCTTCCTTACGAATCTTCATTTCTTCCTCAGTCTCTGGACGTTCCTGGTACCCAATGACTTTATAGTTCACTTGAGGCTTCTGCTTCTTCTTCTTTGCACCTGCATCATCTGGACTCTTGTTCATGATGTCTGATGCTCTGCTATTAGACCCTAGCCTAATTCTTTTAGATGTTCTTCTTCTCCTACCTCCAGACTTCTTTTCTTTCTTCTTCTTACCTTCCTTCTGGTCAATGATTTCTTGGATGTAGTCTCTAGGCCTCTTCCACTTGACCTTCTTCTTCTCAAATTCTAGATAAGAAGGAGGAAGATAGAACTTGTAGTCATCAAAGAAGAGTTTTTCATCAGGGACGACGAGGTTATCTTCATCTCCGCTGGCATGACCGTCTTCACCGAGGCTGTTCTTTACCTCATCCACAATTTTATCTCTTTCTTCGTCACATATCTGTTGGACTTCTTCATCTCCAGGCCAAGCTGGGAAATCTAGATAAGGCAAGTATTCATAATGTCTTTCTTCGTTCTCAATATCTTCTCCTTCAGGTTCCTCTACTGGATCGAAGGGATCTCCCTCTCTAGGCTGCTTTGCGTTTGGAGGCAAAATATCCTTTAAAGCGGTTCCTTGTTTACCCTTAGGAACACCCTTAGCTTTATCCTTTCCTGGCATGCCTTCTATTTTATTTACAGGTTTAAAATTTAAATTTATAAAAATAATGTAGGGGTTTTGGGGTTTTGGGGTTTTGGGGTTTTGGGGTTTTGGGG